TGCAGCCCAGCCAGAAGGACTCTAGAGCGGAAGCACTGGTGCAGAGTGCCGACTGGCATTGCTGGGGAGAAGCTCACTCGACTGGGGTGTCTCCCCAGGGAGAAAGCTCTTGCTGCCAAAGCCCCTCCCTCCTGCCAGACCCTGGACACTGCTGTGCGAAAGCTCCTGGCCACTGGGCACTCCAGAGAGGTGGAGGCAGTTGCAGCCCAGCCAGAAGGACTCTAGAGCGGAAGCACTGGTGCAGAGTGCCGACTGGCATTGCTGGGGAGAAGCTCACTCGACTGGGGTGTCTCCCCAGGGAGAAAGCTCTTGCTGCCAAAGCCCCTCCCTCCTGCCAGACCCTGGACACTGCTGTGCGAAAGCTCCTGGCCACTGGGCACTCCAGAGAGGTGGAGGCAGTCCTGGACTTACCCACTGCGATATAGTAGGCAGCAAAGCCAGTAAAACGCTCCTCATTGGAAAAGTCTGACTGGAAAGTCACAGTCAGCTGGTTATACGGGGCGTAGAATTCTTCCAGGATAGGGGAAGCAGGGTCTGTGCTGCGCTTTCGCCCACAGAGCGGGCCCTTGACAGGATGGCCACCAGACAGGATCTGCAGAGGACCAGAGGAGACTTGTCACACGAGGGAAATGTGTTGTGGTTGTCAACGTCTGAGCCCCTTGGCACAACAGCAACACGTCCCATGTCCACACTCCAGCTCCCAGAGCCCCTCAGTACTGTGCAGCCAGTTACGCTGTGTGGTTTATGGTTGTCTGGAGCTTAACTTTGAGCCATTTCAGGCTAAATGTTTGGGCGCCAGCAGGAAGGCCCACAGCACCTCCCATGGCCAGTGACTGGAAGAGGGACATTAGCAGCGGCGGGGAGTGGAGCTTTTCTAAAGGAGGCAGTGAAGGGGGGACTTAACTGGAAGGCAAGTGGGGAGGTGAGACTGGACACTTGGCTGGCAAACTAGATCAGAGGCGGAGTGGCTGAGACAGCTGGAGAACGGAGCTGGCAGCTCTAATTATAATCCTGTAGTGAGAACGGGTGACCAGAGAGCATTGAAACTGAATTGATTTAAATAGTGCTAGTGAGGATGCCAGGCAAAGCTCAGACTGGTTCAGCCATGGCTAGTGTAGACGCACTGAATCATTTCTGCTTCAATCAGTTCAGCACGAGGCAGGGCTAGTAGGTCCCCATACCAGGCCTGGGCTCCCATACATAGCTCTGCTGATGACCTTCAGTTCTTCCCCACAGGCCCTGCTGAGCTCTGCTGCACCTCAGTCCTGCCCCACAGCCCTCTGCTCCCGAGTGGGGTGGAGAGGATACTGTACCGTCACAGAGTCATACTCGCAGTTCTGGGATGGCTCTATGTCTAGGTGGGTGAAAGAGAGGCGGATGCCGAACCCTGGGGGGACACTGATTTCCCAGGACTCCTTCACATCATTGGGGTATCCCTGAGGGTAGTTTGGGGACAGGATCTCGCCGTACATGGGAGCTGCATTAGCCCAGGCCAGAGGGCAACAGAGGATGAGCCACCTGAGAGAGGGAAGAGGAAGGCAATGTTACAAGGGTGCTCTGCCTCTAGCTATCTGGCAGCCGTTACTAGAAAAGTGCCAATGGGTGGCTCTGGAGATCACTATGTAGCATAGTTCCAGAGTTTTGCAGACTTGCTGTGGTACACTGAAAATGGCTTCCTCCTTACACAGAGCTCTTGCCAGGTGTGACATGGGCACTGACTCCCTCCCCAGCCCCAGTCTCCCACTTCCTTGGGTGCTGGGAGTGCTAAAGGGGTTGAGTCCAGCACCCCTTTGGGGTTAGTCCTTGCAGGGGAACTAAGTCCTATTCTCTGTCCCCATCCTGTGCCCTCTGGGATCTGGGAGAGCCGTAGATAACTCCAGACTCCAGAACCGATGCAAGACTCAAGGAGAGCAGCACTGGTCATTGCTTTGCGAATAAGCCAAGCTCCCATTGTATACCCAGCAACTCACCACTTCCACAAACGCTCCATCCGGTGTCCTTCCTGAAAGGCTCAGCTTCTGGACTTTGGAGTGACAGGACTGGGGCAAAAACAACAGCCTTGATCAGTGAGCTCTGTGTGTGTGCGTGTTTGGGGGGCAGGACAATGGCTTCAATGTCCCAGCTAAGGGAACCTGACAAAGCAGCTTTAGTTCCTATGCCTGGAGAAGCTCTGCCTCTCTAAATAACAGCACCTTCTGCTCTCTCGCACCCCAGCCCCATGGTGGAGTATGGGGGCCAGTACAGACTCAGGGGAGAGGGCACCCCTCTGAGTTACATACACCCCCCCCCCTCAATCACACAGCACCCTCAAGCCCCAGGCTGAGGTATTTGGATTAGTCCTGACGCAAGGTAGAAAGTGGCCCCACTGCTGAGACACCCCACCCTTCAGTGCAGAATCCCCTGTACTATGCTCGAGTCTGGGGACACTGCCCCCAGATTAACCCCTTTCTGACCCAAGCAACCCAAACAATAGCAAAGGGGAATGTTGTTCAGGCCCTTTTCTAATGTTAGTTTTGGAGCTTTTACCTTCTCTCTCCGTCTTTGCCTGTTTCTCTCGCCCTGTCCTGTGTCTCTTTTTTCTATCTCCAGACCACATCCTAGCCCGTCATGTGGCGATTGGTAGGGAAGGGATTGCGCCTTTACTACAGTCCTGTAGCACCCCCTGCTGTGGAGTGTGGCACCCCGGCTTCTCCTCAAATGCTGCTCTTTCCAGTGGAATTTCCAAAGCCTGTTACACAATCCCCTTGGCTGAGTCCCTGGGTGGGAGCATGTGGATCGGGGCTGGCTTAGCACATGTTGGTTTTCAGGGAAATCAGGTGACTTTTGCAAAAAGAGAGGGCAGCGGAAAGTCCAGCTGGAAGGAATTCATCTCTGACACGCACACTCCCCCGCTCCCAGGAGACTGTCAGTGGAGACCAGGGGATTTCTGGAGAAGAAGGAGTCCCAGTGAGAAGCTGTCAATGAACACTTTCAATAAAAGGTGCAGGCTTTTCAGCCCCGGACAGGCACAGGGCAGCTACCACAACCACACTGTCCCCTGCTAAAGTGCGTCACCATGATCTCTTTTGGGGGGAAAGGGCCCATTCACTTCTGGTCTCTCTGCTTGAGGCTGCCAGAGAGGGACAAGCTAGTGCCCATTGTTCTGCTGGTTTTTGCAGTGTGAGCCCTCGTCATGTTAGGCACTGGGCTGAGAGCCCACAAACTTCTTTCATATACAACCCATCAATTGGCCATGAGATTCAACATGAGGCCATCATGACAGTCAGCCTGGGTCATGTTAGAAGTGGGACCCTAGAGAAGTTTCATGTCCTATTCCCACACATTCCCCCTAAACCAGCCAAATTGAGGTCTTATTGGAGCCTGTGGCCTGGTGGTGAAAGGGCTCTTAACTCCTTCCTCAGACCTCCCTCCACCCCCCAGCCTCCTCAAACGAGCCAACCCTCCCCTCCTGACACTGGATTGGGAAGAATGCCCAGCTCCCATTCATACACACTCTTAGCAGTGAAGCATTGCAGATCTGAAGGCTTCACTCAGAGCGAGTGACTTTCAGCTGCACATGGCTAACGTGCTAGCTACACCCCACAAACACCACCTTTTTTCTAGTGTGGGTGCAGGGTAACATCTGTCTCTTGGTTTTAGCTGATAGAGGTGTAACCTGCAAAAGGCAAGAGTTGTTCTCTGCCTGGCTGCACACATGCATTCCTCTCGGCCATGTTCATGCTGGAGCTGGTGAGTTTCCTGCCACAGCACCTATCAGGATGGCCCATGTACTCTGTGCATCCTTTTGGCCCTGCTGATGCTATGTAAGAGCAGCATCTCCCCAAAGTCCCTTCCTTACTTCTCATCACCCAGAGAACAGACCAGAGCCATTTACGGTCAAAGAAATCTTCTTTTTTGTTTTCTTCTTCAGAAAATGGCTTGAACCATCACTGAGACTCCTAGGTTACTCGGATTAGGTCTGGGCCATCAACACACGTCTCCCCAGCACTGCAGCAGAAAGATACCAGTACTGTGCTGTTGACCCTGGTAGCATCTATGGGATTGAACCCAATGGTGCTGTTTTTTACCTGTCGTTATCAATACTAACAACCCCACAGGTTTATGAGCAGCAAAGGACTTTCTCCAGAATCACTTGTAGTGCAGGAGTCTACCACACCTGTGGCAACTCCTTGCTATTCCTGGCCTGTCAAGCTTTTCAACTCCAGTGCAGAGACTGTTAACAGTACTGGGGTGGGTACCACCTAGGAAATATGGCAAAGACTCAACTCCTCTCAGAGACTGGGAGCTGGGTGATAGTGGTTAGAGCAGGAGTCGTTAGCCAGGGATAGGAGATGGCAGGTGGAGATGGAGTCAGAGGCCAGATACCTGGGCCAAGGGCAGGGGTGCCATTTCAGATTTTCATAGGTGGGGGGGGGGTCTGACCTGTGCATGCTATGATGGGTGGGGGGAAGAGAGTGAGAGCATGGGGGGCAGACTGAGGAAAGAGGCTTCAGCAGTGTTACTGAGCATGATCAGCACAAGGCAAGCACCAAATGGGGAGGAGAGGACCAACCTCATCTGCCCCCCTACACACACATATTCATCACCTCTATCCGGGGGCTACTAAGGCACTGGGAAACTCTAGCATTTTTGGCAGACAACTTAGCAGTAAGCTGGCAGGAGCATTGTGTCTAATTCCTATATGAAAGAAAGACAGTTTAAATAAATATTAGAACCACTCAGCTCTAACACTAACATGACATCTTGTGGCAAGTCACTAAGGGGACACTGGTTAGCCTTAAAACTTTAATGTCTATTCTTACTTTGTTTACTAACTCCATGGAGAGAGACAGACTCTGTCAGGCTCCTGGGCTCTATCTCAGCTCTGGCAGGAGAGTGGGGTCTGGTGGGTTACAGCAAGGGGGCAGATATAATTCAGTTCTATATAAGAACATGAGAATGGCCATACTGGGTCAGACCAATGGTCCTTCTAGACCAGTATCCTGTCTTCCAGCAGTGGCCAATGCCAGGTGCTTCAGAAAGAATAAATATCCTGATCCATCTCCTGTCGCCCATTCCCAATTTCTGGCAAACAGAGGCTAGGGACACCATCCCTGCCCATTCTGGCTAGTAGCCATTGATGGACTTATCCTCCTTGAACTTATTTTGCTCTTGTTGGAACCCTGTTATAGTTTAGGCCTTTCCACCATCCCCTGGCAAAGAGTTCCACAAGTTGACTGTGAAGAAATAATGTGTTTTGTCTTTTTTAAATCTGCTGCCTATAAATTTAATTGGGTCAGCTTCTTGTGTTAGATCAATGAAGGAATAAATAACATTTCCTTATTCTATTTTTCCATACTATTCATGATTTTCTAGACATCTAACATATCCCCCCAACCTTTTAGTCATTTCTTTTCCAAGCTGAAAAGTCCTAGTCTTGTTAATCTCTCCTCATATGGAAGCTGTACCTTACCCCTGATCATTTCTGTTGCCCTTTCTGTACCTTTTCCAAATCCAATAGCTCTTTTTTTAGATGTGGTGACCAGATCTGCATACAATATTTAAGATGTGGGCATACCATCATTTTATATAGCGGTAATATGGTATTTTCTGTTTTATCTATTCCTTTCCTAACGATTCCCAATATTCTGTTAGCTTTTTAGTTTTCAGACTGACACTGCACATTGAGTAGTTGTTTTCAGGGCACTATCCACAATGATTCCAAGATCTCTTTCTTGAGCTATTTTAGACCCCATCATTTTTATATCTATAGTTGGGTTTATATTTTCCCTGCATTACATTCCACTTAGCAACACTAAATTCCATCCACCCTTGTGTTGCCCAATCACCCAGTTTTGTGAGAATCCTTTGTAACTCCCTGCAGTCAGCTTTGGATCAGTTCCTGTTTACCCCTTTTTCAATAATATTTATAAGTTTAACACAGTGATCCAAATGCAATTCCCAGCAGCACAACACTCATTCCTACTCTTTTCCCCCTATCTTTTAAGTGTCACGCCTGGCAATGTTTTCATGATGATCTAACAACCCTTCAATTACTGGAATGCCCAGCCTTTTGTTATTCTTAATCCCCCTGCCCCTCCCTCTTTTTATAACAAACTCCCTGCCCCAAAAGCAAAGCTCAAACTCTCTTGCATTTAACAACTGCCTCTGGAGTCAGGGCATTGGCTTTAAACAGACCTCAAGTATGAAATCCAAGGGCTCCAACTTCAGGGGGCTACTTCCCTCTTAGGCCCCCATATACGGTGCCCTTGGCCAAGAGTCACAGACTGAGTCAGAAGTTAAGAACAGGAACCAAGGGTCAGAGCTGGGTTACTGGAATGAGGCAAATCAGGGGCAGGACTGGGTCCAAGGCAGGAGCAGGGCTAGAGCAAGGCTGGAAAAGCTGGGAGCAAGGCTGGGAACAAGCAGGCACAGGAGCTACCACAATCATAGGCAAATGCTCTGAGCAGCCACCAAATTGCTGCTGCTGTTGGGCTTATAGAGTTTCTCTGCTCACTCTTCCAACCAGTCTGGTGGGGTTGCCAATCAGGCAGCCTATTACAGGCTAGCTGTGATCATTAGGGGCATGTCTACACTAGGAAACTATTTCAAAACAACTAAAATTGATTTAATAACTCCCAAAAGAACAAAACTGAAATATTGTGTGTCCTCACTACAGGAAAGCCTCACAATTAGTCTGGGACAGGCTCCATTAATGTGGACACACTACCTCAACTTAGAATCCCAGGAAGTACTGAAGCATAATTAGTTTGAATGATTCTGGGGAATAGTTATTTTGAAATAGCCACACTGGATGGACCATGCCCAGTTACATTATTTCTCTGAATTATGAACTCCAGGGAGACAATCTTCTCCACGACTGGACCCAAAACCAGCTGGGAACTATCAGGAGCTTAAAGCATGGCCAGCATGGCAGGGTACCTGTAGGGCCTGAACAGTAGCTGCATCCATGGAGCTGTTTGCTGCTCCCACATCAATGAAAATCTGTTGGAGGGAAATCCATTAGGGATCCCCTGGAATGTGCAGCTGGACAGACACCTGCAAATGAAGAGCCCCTAAATGGGGCTCAGAGTGCACCTCAGTGAGAAGTAGAAGAGAATCTCTTCTCTGAGGGTACGTCTACACAGCACCATTATTTCTAAATAACTTAGTCCGTGTCTACACAGCAGGCAGTTCTTTCAAAATAATGTCGAAATACTATCAGACTGGTGAACTTCTTACTCCAACTCCTATGACCCTCAGGCTACGTCTAGACTGGCAAGTTTTTCCGCAAAAGCAACCACTTTGGCAGAAAAACTTGCCAGCTGTCTACACTGTCCGCTTGAATTTGTGCAAGAACACTGACGATCTCATGTAAGATCGTCAGTGTTCTTGCGCAAATACTATGCTGCTCCCGTTCGGGAAAAAGCCCTCTTGCGCAAATGTATTTGTGCAAGAGAGCCAAGTTTTTTTAACGGAAAAACTTTTCTGTTAAAAGCATTTGCGGAAAATCATGCCAGTCTAGATGTAGCCTCATTGTACGAGGAGTAAGGGAAGTTGGAGGAAGAGTGCTCAATTTCGAAATAAGCTATTTCAAAATAAGCTATGCAATTGACATAGCTCAATTTGTGTTGATTATTTTGAGTTAAGCCCTGCAGTGTAGATGCACGCTAAAGGGCCAGGTTGGTTTTTCCCCCACCAAGCCAGGGTTGGCTTGTTTCCCTG